AATGACTTTAGTTCCTAACAAACTAACAAAACAATTGAAGTCAGCCAATCAGAATGAAGCTTGCAATTTTGCCAAAGCTTTTGCCATTTTTGTCTTTGCCCTCAGAGTCCTTGAACGGTTTGAGAATGTGGTCAATGGTTTTCACTTCTGGTAAATAGCTCTCATCCTTACACATCCTTGTCTTGTCTGTTCTCAGGTGATGAGGTCTTGCACAGGTATCTGAGTAACGAACAGATCCCCACCATCTCAGAAGAGTCGCCCTGTTACCCGCTGCCCTACCGCCCCACAGGAGAACGCCAACTCGTCCGAGGGGTCGACCACATCCGCGGCAGCCAGTGTTTTATCAACGCAGACCTACACAACAGCTCCACCATACCCTACCAGGAAGCCATGGCTCGGAAGCCTGCAGCCAAATCATCCAAGAGACCCCCCTCAGAACCCTCACTCTTCAGCAGCTGGATCGCCCGACTCAAGCTGCTCACACACTGAATGCGCTGCTGCTGGTTGTCTGCTATCCATGTGCAGTATTATCACTTCAAATCCGGAATGTTCCACAGGATCTGAAACGAGGATCTGTTGAGATTCAGTATTAAAGACATCCTCAGTGTAATGCCTGTTACTTTATTTAAGGTTGCATCAGCATTAAGGACACTACTGAAAACTCTTTCTCTGATAAATCAGGTCTTTAAAAGGATTTTTCACTTGGAACTGTGTTATCAATAAGTTATTTAATTTGTGCATATATTGTATATTATAGATACACATTCAGCATATTTCCCACTTGCTAAATAGATTTTTTTCTTTATTTTTTTAAACATATGCCTTATGTCAGTTAAAGCTATGTCATCTCTGAAACGAGAAAAAGAAAAGATATTGTTTAGGAAATTGTTTTTATTTTTATTTTTTTAATCAGAGCATCCCTTTTGAAATAAATGTGCACACTGACGTGTCTATAAGGCAAGGAAGTTCTTGTGAAATTCAAAATGTATGGTTCAGGGTTGGGAAATTTTCAGAATTTAACATTTCTGGCTCCGTTTTAATACATGAGTGTGAATTTGAATCAATTTGGTCACTCCCCGCAGGAAGTAGAAATGGATTTGAATTGGAATGACAGGAAGTGGAATTTACTGAAATGCAATCTAATGAAATTTCAATGGTCCAAGACAATTTGACTAATTATGGCTGATTAGTATAATATACTTTATTCTGATTAGACATATTTCTGATTAGACTAAATTCAACACTATCAAATTAACAGCACTATATTGAAGTAAACCATTTTTTAAATAAATTAATATTTTATTCAGTAAGAATTCATTTAATTGATCAAAAGTGACAATACAGATTTCTATTTCAAATAAATGCAGTTTGTTTTAAAGTTTTTATTCATTAAAGAATATTAAAAAAATATGACTATTTTCACAAAAATATTAAGCAACCATTTTCAACTGATAATAATAATAGTAAATGTTTTGAGCGTCAAATCAGCATATTAGAATGACTTTTAAAAGCATCATGTGACACCAAAGACTGCAGAAATAGCAGCTGAAAATTCAGTTTTAAATTACATTTTAAATATATTAAAACAGAAAATAGATCCTACTATTATTTTTAATCAAATAAATGCAGCCTTGACGAGCATAAGTGACTTCTTTCAAACACATTAAAACATCTAACTGACCCCGAACTTTTGAATAGTACTGTGTATATACATGTAAGCTATACTTATTTTTTTTTATTTGACATTTTTATTCATTACTACACCTATAGCAGTTATTCTATTCATTCCATTTTAATTCCACTTCCTCAAATTTGTATTAAAATTACAATTCTGCATCCCACTTGCAACCTCAATTCAAATTCAGAAAATGAAATAGAATTTAAAAGGCATTCTAAATTCAACTCTGAATGGCACAGAACCCCGGTGAGTAAATTTTGCATAGTACATTTGCACATCATGCAAACAACTATAAACAAGAACACTCTGAGTCTTAAAACCACCTACTGTAACACTAGAGCAAGTCATTAGTTTTAAGCAAGATAGGATACTACTTGATACTCGTTTATGTTGTCAGATACTATTAATAAAGAATGCTATAAATGGAAAAATCATCTCATACCATGGATTCATGTGCGGGGCAAATGCAGTCAGCTATCTAATGTTTTCTATTATGGTTTTCCTCCAGAGGGCGCTCGCAGCTCAGAAAGCGAACCGTTGAGTCCACAGACCAGGGGTCACCAAACTCGGTCCTGGAGGGCCGGTGTCCTGCAGAGTTTAGCTCCAATTTACCTCAACACACCTACCTGGAAGTTTCAAGTATACCTAGTAAGAGCTTGATTAGCTGCTTCAGGTGTGTTTGAATGGAGTTGGAGCTGAACTCTGCAGGACACCGGCCCTCCAGTGTGACCCCTGCCTTAGAGCCCATCCACACGGAGAAGCGTTTAGTTGTATACGTAAAGATTTGGTATCGTATCGACGTTTCGTCCAGACGGATCCCTGTTGAAAAAACAGCATATGCTGGTTAGTTATGTTTTGACGCTGGGATACTGGTTTAAGCTGATCCTTTGCTGGTTTATGCTAGTCCTTTGCTGGTTTATGCTGGTCCTTTTGCTGGTTTATGCTGGTCCTTTTGCTGGTTTATGCTGGTCCTTTTGCTGGTTTATGCTGGTCCTTTTGCTGGTTTATGCTGGTCCTTTTGCTGGTTTATGCTGGTCCTTTTGCTGGTTTATGCTGGTCCTTTTAAAATTATTTATCCAATTTAACATCCTACCTCTAATCCCTGCATCATACAGCTTAATCACAAGCCCCTCCTTCCATACCATGTCATATGCTTTTCCAATATCTAGAAAGACTCCCACAACTGCTTCTTTATTAGCTAAAGCTCTTTTAATATCTAAATCCAATAATAAAACAGAATCCATTGTGGATCTACCAATTCTAAAACCACTTTGATAAGGAGTGAAGTACTCCTGTTTCTCCAAAATATATACTAATCTATCAGTAACCATTCGTTCCATCATTTTACATAGTACTGACGTAAGAGCAATTGGGCGGTAAGAGCTGGGTTCTCCTGCATTTTCACCAGGCTTCAATATCGGCATAATTATTGCATGTTTCCATTCCCTTGGCAATATACCACACTCCCATATAATATTTATTAGCTTCAACAATTCGTCTAATACTGGATCATCTAAGTTGCGAAGAATCTGACAACCTATCCCGTCTCTACCAGGTGCCGTATCTCTCCTGAATTCCTAACACACTCTTGAGGTTTTTGAGGTGAAATTCTGAAATTATCGTACATTATGGGATTTTTTTAATTATTGATCGTACATCGTACAGATGTCAAAATTATCGTACAATTACGATAATTATCGTACATATGGCAACACTGGCTCCAAGTCTTCTTCTCCATTTTTTGGTGTATCTCTGTGGCAGAATTACAGCGACACATACTGGTGTGGCATGTATACTACATCGTTTTGAGTCTGTTTGAGAGGGTGCTCGCTGCAGAGCCAAATGGGAGGAGCTGGAGCTCTAGCTCCCCCTCGCTGGATGTAATGGGTGGAGCTAGACACCCAATCACTCCCTAACCCTACCCCTTACCCTATTGCTAAACATAACTCCACCCATTAGTTCACACAGAGGTGGCGCTGGACATCCAGAGAGGGGGAGCTGGAGGTCATTTGGCTCTGCAGTGAGCAGTACTTGGTCTGTTTCAGTGGTTTCGTGTGTATGCAAATATTTATTGAGATTACACCGTGTTCACGGGATTATTTTTTTTAGAACGAAGAAAAAAAAAAGAGGATCGGATAGGGAAAGCTCTGGCTTCGTGTGGATGGCCATAGACAAAAAATAATTAAAAAATATCACACTGAAATCTGATTTATTGGAGATATTTGCATATCAAAATTAATTCCCAAATTTTCGACGCAACATATAAATGAAAACATGGCACTTTAAAATATAATAATCCAACGATTTCTACATAAACGAGGCACAAAATAAAAGCATACACACATTTATGCATCCATTCATTCATTTATGTATTGGTAATCTATGCCATGGCACAAAGTCCCGCCCATTTTTTGTACCCCTGTCTTGTTAATTGCCGTTTTAGGCATTTACCTTACATCCCTCCTGTGTAGGGATGGGCGATACCACTTGTTTTGTTTTCGATACGATACCGATATTTTTCAAGGCAGTATCGTCGATATCAATATCGATACCGATACGATACTTCTGAACTAAACCTTTAAATTATGAAATTTATGAAATTATTAAATTACTAAGAGTAAAATGGGTAATGATAACCACTTAACTTTGTTTAAAACGCATTTTAACATTCAATACGCCTTAATTGTAACTTATTAGGTTATCTTTTTGTTTACACATGGTTCAAATATGTTTTTTGTTTACACATGATTCAAATCTACAAATACTACAGTTGAACTATGGTCACTTTAGTAAAGCCATGGTTCATTATCATAAAGGACTGCCAGTTACTGGCTGTTGCATCCATAAAATGCAACCTTTTTTGACAGTGCATGATTTCTATTAACATTACAGAATAGAACATGATCAATATTATCTTTCAACGTTCAATTTCAATAAATGTAATTGCACAAACTATGTAGGCTAATTTCAATTTGTTTATTGTGAAATAACTCAAACATATATGTTTTTTTTCTTCTGTTCTCTGATAAGCATTGTTCAGGGCTGCCGTTCCCAAAAGCTTTAATGCTTTCTTATGATACTTTTGGGAAACGCAGCCCTGTTTGAATGCACCGTCAGAAGTGAGTGAATGCTCTCTTTGATGGATTGGTTCAGATGTGTTCAGATGAGCAGGAAAATAGTTCTATCCTACACAATTATTCGCTAACATAGGTTATTCGTCCAATTAAATGCATTATTTTTTTGTTAAATAAACAAAATCACTGGTAAATAAAACACACCTTAGTATCGATATTTATTGTTTGAGTATCGATACTTTCCAGAGGCGCTTCACAAACACACACACACACACACACACACACTGAAACAGTTTGTGCGGGGTCTGGGATGTCTGCTAGGGTGATTTTCCGAGGAATAAAATACCTGCAGGTTTTCACATGCTGGTTACAGGTAAGGAAAAGAAAAGAAAATTACACATAATACAGGAAAAAAGAGTGAAAACCAAACGTATCCTCTTGATCAGACGCTTATAACTGTAGCACAAGTTAAAGATGCTTCAAACAAACAGCAAAATTCATTTTTATGTCTTTATTATTAATAATAATTAGAATATGTAAAGACTTGTTTTTCTTTGTGCAGTTGGTAGAGGACATATTTGTGCTAATCTCCTATCTGAAGGCAGCAGAGGTGAATCAGATGAGCCGGACAGAGGCAGTAAGTGTTCACTTCATTCCTCTTGCTGTTTTGGGATCAGAAGTCAACTTTTGTGCAAGTATATCATTGATTTATTCTTTCTTTCTGAGGACATATTTGTTTTCCAACCATATAAACAAACGGCATTTCTGTCAAATAGTTAAAACAAATACTTCAAACTGATCAGTCGAGTGAAAAATCTCAGTGCCTCAATTATAAGATCAAAAGTGGCTGTGAATAATGTCCAAGATATCATACAATAATAAACACTGTTAAAATACATTTGAAATAATCAGCCAGCCATCATGTTCTTTTACTGACTTCCATAACATTGTATTTAAATGTAATCATTGTTGTGAGGTTTTTTTTATGCTTTCAGAGCTGATATTAACACTTTTTTTATTCTAATACTTGCATCATAATCTTCAACCACTTCCTATTAACTAGGCATTGAGCTGTCACTATTTCCCAAAGCGCTGCTGAAGATGTTTTTCACATAATTCTCAGCAGAATGTTCATCTGTCTCTACGAGTGTTTGTTGCCTGTCTATTCCAATTCTGTTTAAATTTGACAGCCTACTTTTAGAAACTTCCACGAAGCGAAAAGTAGTTCAGTAATGCTTATTTTAACTATGTACTGTTTTAGTGTTTGGGTTGTCTAGACTGAATTAAAATAAATATTTGCTCAAAATTCACAAAAAAAAAAAAAGTTTTGAAAACAAAAAAATGTTCATTATAAGTCAGCAAGGGTTTAAAATTGACACCAAGCGGAATAACAACTTCAGAATAACAAAGGTCAGAACCATTATCATCGGCTGACCTCAAAGATGATGAAACCGAAGTATAGATCATGACAGATCTTTTCTTCCAACCCGATCTCATTGGAAAATGTAACTTTTTTTTTTTTTAGGAGTGGCAATTTCGTATGAATTTGTGCAGTGTAAACAAATTCAGGTCGTCCAAAAATGCACAAATCCAAATCTGAGACGAAAATGTTTAGGCCTAAATTAGATTTCACATATTCATATTAATAAGCCACTAATTTGCCAGAAGGTAAAATGGTTATGAATTGCCATGAGATTGCGTTTTTTCTTTTTGCATTATGACGTACATTTGAAAGTAACGGAATTATCAAAAAATTCCCAAAAGCTTTAATGCTTTCTTATGATACTTTTGGGAAACGCAGCCCTGTTTGAATGCACCGTCAGAAGTGAGTGAATGCTCTCTTTGATGGATTGGTTCAGATGTGTTCAGATGAGCAGGAAAATAGTTCTATCCTACACAATTATTCGCTAACATAGGTTATTCGTCCAATTAAATGCATTATTTTTTTGTTAAATAAACAAAATCACTGGTAAATAAAACACACCTTAGTATCGATATTTATTGTTTGAGTATCGATACTTTCCAGAGGCGCTTCACAAACACACACACACACACACACACACACTGAAACAGTTTGTGCGGGGTCTGGGATGTCTGCTAGGGTGATTTTCCGAGGAATAAAATACCTGCAGGTTTTCACATGCTGGTTACAGGTAAGGAAAAGAAAAGAAAATTACACATAATACAGGAAAAAAGAGTGAAAACCAAACGTATCCTCTTGATCAGACGCTTATAACTGTAGCACAAGTTAAAGATGCTTCAAACAAACAGCAAAATTCATTTTTATGTCTTTATTATTAATAATAATTAGAATATGTAAAGACTTGTTTTTCTTTGTGCAGTTGGTAGAGGACATATTTGTGCTAATCTCCTATCTGAAGGCAGCAGAGGTGAATCAGATGAGCCGGACAGAGGCAGTAAGTGTTCACTTCATTCCTCTTGCTGTTTTGGGATCAGAAGTCAACTTTTGTGCAAGTATATCATTGATTTATTCTTTCTTTCTGAGGACATATTTGTTTTCCAACCATATAAACAAACGGCATTTCTGTCAAATAGTTAAAACAAATACTTCAAACTGATCAGTCGAGTGAAAAATCTCAGTGCCTCAATTATAAGATCAAAAGTGGCTGTGAATAATGTCCAAGATATCATACAATAATAAACACTGTTAAAATACATTTGAAATAATCAGCCAGCCATCATGTTCTTTTACTGACTTCCATAACATTGTATTTAAATGTAATCATTGTTGTGAGGTTTTTTTATGCTTTCAGAGCTGATATTAACACTTTTTTTATTCTAATGCTTGCATCATAATCTTCAACCACTTCCTATTAACTAGGCATTGAGCTGTCACTATTTCCCAAAGCGCTGCTGAAGATGTTTTTCACATAATTCTCAGCAGAATGTTTATCTGTCTCTACGAGTGTTTGTTGCCTGTCTATTCCAATTCTGTTTAAATTTGACAGCCTACTTTTAGAAACTTCCACGAAGCGAAAAGTAGTTCAGTAATGCTTATTTTAACTATGTACTGTTTTAGTGTTTGGGTTGTCTAGACTGAATTAAAATAAATATTTGCTCAAAATTCACAAAAAAAAAAAAAGTTTTGAAAACAAAAAAATGTTCATTATAAGTCAGCAAGGGTTTAAAATTGACACCAAGCGGAATAACAACTTCAGAATAACAAAGGTCAGAACCATTATCATCGGCTGACCTCAAAGATGATGAAACCGAAGTATAGATCATGACAGATCTTTTCTTCCAACCCGATCTCATTGGAAAATGTAACTTTTTTTTTTTTTAGGAGTGGCAATTTCGTATGAATTTGTGCAGTGTAAACAAATTCAGGTCGTCCAAAAATGCACAAATCCAAATCTGAGACGAAAATGTTTAGGCCTAAATTAGATTTCACATATTCATATTAATAAGCCACTAATTTGCCAGAAGGTAAAATGGTTATGAATTGCCATGAGATTGCGTTTTTTCTTTTTGCATTATGACGTACATTTGAAAGTAACGGAATTATCAAAAAAAAAAAAAAACTTGGTTCCATCCATCAGTTGTTTATTGGATTTTAAAATTAAAAACTTGATGAAAGATGAAAACAAGCTTGCAAAAGTGGTCCTATCCTTTTCACCGGAAGATCCAGTTATGTTTTTTAATGAAACATATACATGGATGAATCATTCACCATAAGATCTATAATGTCGACTTTAAAATATAAAATCCATATTTTGAGAGATTAATTGGAAAAATATCATGATTTGCGGTTGACATTTATACGAGTAGTTGTTGGAGAGTGTTTAAGTGCTGTTACTGATTACATCTTCCTCCGGTTTCACAGGCAAGGCTTAAGCCTAGTCCCAGACTAAAATACATATCTGGGCAGGTCTAACTGAAAGAAACTTGCACTGACTGATCTTTAAATATATTAGATTCATTGTTTTGTCTCAAGATGCACACCAGTAATGTTTTTATCTAAGGCATATTTCTAAAAACTACTTAAATGTCCTAATTGAACGATGGAATAATCCTGGCTTAAACTAAGCCCTGCCTGTGAAACCGGGCCTTAAAGTTTTTCACCTTTTTAATCAGCTTTTCTGCAGTTCAAGTCTGTGGCATGAAAGTGTAAATATTCCATGTAGCCTCTCGGTGAATATGAACTCATGAAATTTGAATAGATAACCAAGAATTAGAGAAAAAAAAGTTTTGGAATATGACGAATGTCACACAGTTTCACAAATGATATCACCCATCCAATACCTGTAGCTTCAAGACGATCTTCAGTCTGTGGGAAGTTCCTGTTTACTGTACGTGGCTCTATAGCATTATATGTGAGTGTGTTTTGAAAGAGCGAGAGGGAGGATATCAGTATTAGTGTGTACATGTACTTGAACTCTCTCACTGGCGTGTGTGGTGGTTCGGGGAAGTGAATGCTCTCTTTAGGGGCAGCTGTGTTATTAGTGCTGTCTCTCTGAGCTGTGGGCGCTGATGGCTGAGTTCACTGCGTAATTTACAGCATTTCTGTTTTCTCTTTCCTTGCGCTTTCAGTACCCTCTTCAAGACTTTGCCGCTGAGAAGTCTCAAGGTAAGCCGAAAAGCGTTTCTAACATAGACTATTATTATTGTTAAGACAATGTATAGATGTTTTAAACTCACCGAAAGAGTAAAATGATCAAGTACACAATGTACAAAGAGCAAAATTTGGATTTGTCAGTGGAATCATGACCCTGTCGATTGTGTCATGCAAACGTGCATGATGTTATCTTTGCTATTGATGCTATTGAGTAAAGGACCCAGTAAGAATGGCACTGCTGAGGGCTGCTGTCGCCTCATTTGCATGTGTTTGTTTGTGATAGGAGATGATGTGATGAGCCGCAGAAGGGTCTCGGTGAAAGACCTGGGCCAGGGCGACTGTCAGGGCTGGTTGTACAAAAGGAAGGAGAGCAAAGGGCTCTTGGGCTGGAGGTGGAAGAAGTTTTGGTTTGTGCTCAAGAAATGTTCGCTCTACTGGTACACATCGGACATGGTAAGTGACGTGGTTTTCCCCAGATAATGTGTGGCCTCGCTATGGAAAATGTGAACGTGTGTTTATGTCTTCACTTGTTATCTCATGTTGGAAATGAGTATCCATAAGCCTGTTGCACAAACCTGGTTTAGCAAACTCTGAGTTTAGAGTGGAGAAAACCAAACGGATTCAGTGGACGCACATGCTATACATTTTCTCTGTCTACTGGGTCCTGTGGGTTTGATACAGAGTATGCAGTGAACAGCCAATCTCATGAGCACTTTGATTCTCATTTCAATTTTCTGCTGAAAATGAGGAAATTATGAAAAAACATGAGTTTAAACACATTTACAAGGCTATAGAACCATTGCTGCGGTCACAGAATTTTGAGAAAGAAAATGTCTTGCTGTCAATGCAAGCGAAACAACTTTAAAGTGAATAATTTATATAGTTTATAAAGAGCTCAGCCAAAACATGTAAAATTAGTCCTTTTAAAAACTTTTTATATAATTTCAAGCATTTAGTTGTATTTATATTAAGTTAAAAGTTAATTAATATTATTAAATGATAATTAATGATAATTAGTTAAAAAAAATATTTGTAATTGTTAAAAATATAATTGTATTATATTTGTTCATTAAGCATTAAGAATGCTTTAAGGATATAATGTAAATAAGGTAATATATTATTTTGTATAAAATACAAATAATAAGTAATTAGCAAAATCCAATTGTGCTGCTTTAATTTGGAGCAAGAAATTCAAGGGAGTGGCTTTATTGTGTCAGAGAAGTGTCACTTTGCTCACAGCTAATTTGTCAATTTTTGGTTTGCGATCTCATATCCTGAATAAAACCTGCTCCAAATCATGGCTACATTTCACAAAAGCATAGCTATCTTAAAGGGAAAGTTCACCCCAAAAAAAAAAAATGTTATCATTTACTCGCCCTCAAGTTGTTCCAAACCTGTATGAGTTTCTTTCTTCTGTGGAACAAGAAAGAAGATATTTTGAAGAATGTGGGAAACCAAACAGTTAATGTTAGCTATTGATTTCCACAGAATGGAAAAAAACAGAAACTGTTTGGTTACCAACCTCCAAAATATCTTCTTGTTCAGCAGAAGAAAGAAACTTTTTGGGTGTCATGTGGTTTCTACAATGTACTCGGCTTACAATGCTTTTGGGTAAGACAGCCCTGATTAGTTATGTACCGTAAATGTGTACCATGGCATTGAACACTGCTAAAATACAATCCACCTTCTTCAAAACCAAAAACCAGAGTTTGTTCAAACTAAACCAAAATTTAGATGAGTAGTCTTTTTCCAGAGACAAGTTCTCTCTGTTTCCTTTCAGGCAGAGAAAGCCGAAGGCTACATCAACCTGAGAGACTTCACCATAGAACAGGCTACCGAATGCAAGAAGAAGTTGTGAGTTCATCTGCCTTATTTACAGAGATTTTTGTCTGTTTGTGGGTAAAAACGACAGACATGCCTGTTGCGCCATGTGGCCTCATTATATCTATTTTTCTGAAAGTACTGCATGCTAAATGTTACAGCAAGCATGGCTATAACTGTTGCTCAGACTTGGTAACATACAGCAACCCTAGCAATCATATGTAACACCCACACTAATTCATAAAAACTCCACACAGAACATCCTACCAACCACCCAGAACACACTTGCAATGATCTTTCAATCCGTGTAGCAATGAATTAGCAGTGCCTCAGAAACCACCTAGAATTGTCCTGTATACCAGCAGCCATAGAAATGCACTAAAACACTTAAGAACCTTAAGAACTGCATGGCAACCAGCTAGACTGCTCTAGTAACAGCATAGAAACACCCTGGAAACTGCTCAGAACATCATATCTAACCGCATAGCAACCCCCAAGAAACCACCTGCAACACCCAGTCAACTTCATACGAGCTCCTTGGCATCCACACAGAACATCATTACAACTGTATGGCAACCAGCCTTAACACCCTATAGCACTGAAACCATGAAACCACTGCATAGCAACACCATAACTGCAAACCTAGCAGTGCCTTAGTGTCCATTGTCATTGTCATAGAAACCACCTAGAGCACACTAGCAGCCATAGTAAAACAAATCAGTAAAAGCACTCCGAGCACCTCAGGAACTGCATTGCAACCACCCAAAACATTCTAGTAACAGCATAGAGACTCCCTGGCAACTCTACAGAGTATCCTATATAGAGGGAGTGGTTAAGGATATTCTGCCCAAGCCGTCAAACTGACGTCATCAGAGAAGGAATGACAATTCATTGGCCAAATAGCGATTAGCACCGCCCCCTGCGTGTAAGCTATATCAGCATGCTGCGCGCTATTTCATCAGATCTCCACCTGACAAAGGAAGCGCTATCAAAGGTAAGAAACCAGGAGGTGACGACCAACTGAAACACCTCCCACGGGTGCATGCCCCGCAGATATGGCCGCCACATACACCTTAAGAGTGGCGGGGGTCACTCCCTCAGAAAAATGACTCTGAAAAAACTCAAGCACTGAACCGATGGGGCAATAGACTGGATCCAGAATGCGTTGTCTACACCAAGAGGCAAAAAGTCTCCACTTGAAAGCATACAAGCGTCTTGTGGAGGGAGCCCTAGAATTAATAATAGTGTCGGTAATCTCAGCCGAGAGACCGGAACACATTAGCGCACTCCGCTCAGGGGCCACACCCATAACCTCGATAATTCCGGTCGAGGATGCCAAATCATGCCCCGAGCTTGTGTCAACAGATCGTGTCTGAGGGGTACCTCCCAAGGAAGGCCGGCTAGCAGACTGACTAAGTCCGAGAACCACGACTGGGTGGGCCACCAGCAGCAAGTGTTCCACTCTGTCTGATCGTACTCTGAACAGAATTACTGGGATGGTTGATTACTTAGATCGATGGTTACAAAGCAATCTTCGGATTGGATCTGAGACCGAATGGACTTTACTGTTAGCGTCTTGAACTTGCTCACTCGGAGCTCAAGATTTAAATGATGCAAGTTCGAAATCAGACGTAAACCACCATCTTTTTTGGGCACTACAAAATACCGGCTGTAAAAGCCTGACTCCATCTGAGTGGGGTATATCTCCTCTATAGCCCCTTTCTCTAGGAGTGACACGATCGCCTGACTCAAAATCTAGGCCTCCCCAGGACGTACCATCGTAGGAAGAACCCTGCTGAAAGGAGGTAGCCCTTTCCTAAATTGGATGGTGTAACAGTTTCGAATGGTACATAGTACCTATTGTGAGACGTCGGGCAGGCGTCTCCACGCGGCCCAATAGCCTGCTAGGGGCTTTAGTCGCTCTACGTTTGGCAACAGTTGAAATACAGGTGCCGAGACATCTCCTGATTGCGGAGAGCTGCTGGCGTGGGGCTATCGCACTTGATGAAATCTTCATCTGATTTTCCTGCATAGGGCCCCGAAGCACCTGAGTGGCGGGAAACTCTATAACAGGAAGAACTCCAAATGCCCTGTCTGGCCGGCCCACCACCCCAAGAGTGGGGGCTTTGAAGGCCGTCATAAATGAGCCATGCTCGCATGACTCTTGGGCTTTCTCTCGAACTCTGAAGGCTGGAACCTTGCGAGGGCACTGCAAAGAGGATGAGCGTGAATGAGCCGTAGGTGGTTGACACTCCACTTCCCTAGCCCTCCGCGGGATGAGCTTACGAAACGCGGCAGACTGCTGTTTCGCTGCCCGGAACTTTTCCACGACAGTCGTGACCGAATCCCCGAACAGACCGTCATTAGAAATGGGGGCGTCCAAAAGAAAGGTTCTGTCCTTTTCCTTAATGTCAGTGAGAGTGAGACAAAGGTGGCGCTCAACTGACACCAAACCTGCCATGGACCTGCCCACTGCTTGAGCCCTGTGCTTGGTAGCCCTAAGCGCCAAGTCTGTAGCTCGCCTGGGCTCTTTAACAGCCTCCAGGGTCAGGCCTTCCCCCTCATCCAGCTCCTTAAGCACATCTGCTTGATAAGCCTGGAGTACACCCATAGAATGAAGCACATTAAGATTTATGTAATGAAGATTTACATGTAAGATTTCCTGACCAAAGCGGACGTAATCCTACACAGCTTGGACGGCAACAGGGGGCGTGACTTCCAAGACGGAGCCGAGTTCGGCGCGATGTGCCGCGAGAGTCTCTTCTACACCCGGCATCATTGCGTAGCCGTTTTCCGCCATTTTGGAAACCTTGGCAAACTCAGCGGCAGCAGGATTGTTAATACATGCTGAAAAAGGTTGTTTCCAAGACCTCAAAACCTCGTCCAGTTTCGACTGGGCCTGATTTTGCACCGGCTCGCTATCCCACTCTAACCCCAGCTTATACACAGCGTGCGTCACAACATCTAACAGTTCGCTGTAAGATGGGGAGGTGCGTTTCTCCTGTCCGCTCGGAGGGAGAGAACTGCACGTTTCAGCCAATAAATCCTCAGAATCAGAGGCCGCTGTGGACAGCACGTCTTCGTCATACGGTTCACAATCAAAAGACATCGTATCACGAGCTTCCGGGGTAGGCTGCAAATCATCGTTGACAAAGACAACAGGTCGCTTTCCTATGGGGGCGACAGATGATTCGCTTCCTGAAGGAAATGAAATCTGATGAAATAGGGGGCGGTGCTAAGCGCTATTTGGCCAATGTATTGGCGTGATGGTATAAGGGCTTCAGACATTCGTCACACCGATATCGTGCCGCCACATACACCTTAAGAGGGGCGGGGGTCACTCCCTCAGAAAAATGACTCTGAAAAAACTCAAGCACTGAACCGATGGGGCAATAGACTGGATCCAGAATGCGTTGTCTACACCAAGAGGCAAAAAGTCTCCACTTGAAAGCATACAAGCGTCTTGTGGAGGGAGCCCTAGAATTAATAATAGTGTCGGTAATCTCAGCCGAGAGACCGGAACACATTAGCGCACTCCGCTCAGGGGCCACACCCATAACCTCGATAATTCCGGTCGAGGATGCCAAATCATGCCCCGAGCTTGTGTCAACAGATCGTGTCTGAGGGGTACCTCCCAAGGAAGGCCGGCTAGCAGACTGACTAAGTCCGAGAACCACGACTGGGTGGGCCACCAGCAGCAAGTGTTCCACTCTGTCTGATCGTACTCTGAACAGAATTACTGGGATGGTTGATTACTTAGATCGATGGTTACAAAGCAATCTTCGGATTGGATCTGAGACCGAATGGACTTTACTGTTAGCGTCTTGAACTTGCTCACTCGGAGCTCAAGATTTAAATGATGCAAGTTCGAAATCAGACGTAAACCACCATCTTTTTTGGGCACTACAAAATACCGGCTGTAAAAGCCTGACTCCATCTGAGTGGGGTATATCTCCTCTATAGCCCCTTTCTCTAGGAGTGACACGATCGCCTGACTCAAAATCTAGGCCTCCCCAGGACGTACCATCGTAGGAAGAACCCTGCTGAAAGGAGGTAGCCCTTTCCTAAATTGGATGGTGTAACAGTTTCGAATGGTACATAGTACCTATTGTGAGACGTCGGGCAGGCGTCTCCACGCGGCCCAATAGCCTGCTAGGGGCTTTAGTCGCTCTACGTTTGGCAACAGTTGAAGTACAGGTGCCGAGACATCTCCTGATTGCGGAGAGCTGCTGGCGTGGGGCTATCGCACTTGATGAAATCTTCATCTGATTTTCCTGCATAGGGCCCCGAAGCACCTGAGTGGCGGGAAACTCTATAACAGGAAGAACTCCAAATGCCCTGTCTGGCCGGCCCACCACCCCAAGAGTGGGGGCTTTGAAGGCCGTCATAAATGAGCCATGCTCGCATGACTCTTGGGCTTTCTCTCGAACTCTGAAGGCTGGAACCTTGCGAGGGCACTGCAAAGAGGATGAGCGTGAATGAGCCGTAGGTGGTTGACACTCCACTTCCCTAGCCCTCCGCGGGATGAGCTTACGAAACGCGGCAGACTGCTGTTTCGCTGCCCGGAACTTTTCCACGACAGTCGTGACCGAATCCCCGAACAGACCGTCATTAGAAATGGGGGCGTCCAAAAGAAAGGTTCTGTCCTTTTCCTTAATGTCAGTGAGAGTGAGACAAAGGTGGCGCTCAACTGACACCAAACCTGCCATGGACCTGCCCACTGCTTGAGCCCTGTGCTTGGTAGCCCTAAGCGCCAAGTCTGTAGCTCGCCTGGGCTCTTTAACAGCCTCCAGGGTCAGGCCTTCCCCCTCATCCAGCTCCTTAAGCACATCTGCTTGATAAGCCTGGAGTACACCCATAGAATGAAGCACATTAAGATTTATGTAATGAAGATTTACATGTAAGATTTCCTGACCAAAGCGGACGTAATCCTACACAGCTTGGACGGCAACAGGGGGCGTGACTTCCAAGACGGAGCCGAGTTCGGCGCGATGTGCCGCGAGAGTCTCTTCTACACCCGGCATCATTGCGTAGCCGTTTTCCGCCATTTTGGAAACCTTGGCAAACTCAGCGGCAGCAGGATTGTTAATACATGCTGAAAAAGGTTGTTTCCAAGACCTCAAAACCTCGTCCAGTTTCGACTGGGCCTGATTTTGCACCGGCTCGCTATCCCACTCTAACCCCAGCTTATACACAGCGTGCGTCACAACATCTAACAGTTCGCTGTAAGATGGGGAGGTGCGTTTCTCCTGTCCGCTCGGAGGGAGAGAACTGCACGTTTCAGCCAATAAATCCTCAGAATCAGAGGCCGCTGTGGACAGCACGTCTTCGTCATACGGTTCACAATCAAAAGACATCGTATCACGAGCTTCCGGGGTAGGCTGCAAATCATCGTTGACAAAGACAACAGGTCGCTTTCCTATGGGGGCGACAGATGATTCGCTTCCTGAAGGAAATGAAATCTGATGAAATAGGGGGCGGTGCTAAGCGCTATTTGGCCAATGTATTGGCGTGATGGTATAAGGGCTTCAGACATTCGTCACACCGATATCGTTGCCGTAGCAATTATGTCATTGCAGCATTGAAGTGAACCTATGAGAGGGAACACCAACAACACCATAATAGCTACACACTTGTATAGCAATACACTTAAAGGTGCAGTATGTAATATCGACAGCTACCAGTTGAAATGGATACTGCAGTCCAAATTCAAAATATTGGAGAGAGTTGTTTCTCCCACCACCTCCTCCTCAAACTCGACACACACATGGGTTGCCAGATTAAGGACACGCAACAGGAACGAGCACAGTTGACGCTGGAAGGCGACGAGCCTTACACTGTAAGTTAATAAGTCAATTTATCCTCCTTTTAATATGCCTGTGCTCATAGAGCTTTTTAGATGGATGCCAAGGCTTTTTTTCGGTGGATAGAATGTTTTTTTTAGGTTGCGATCTCTAACCAAGTTCGTTTACTTGCTTCCATTGCTGCAATGCGCTTTGTTTTCCACCAACTGGCAACCCAGGGTGTCGAAGTACTATTGTACAGTACTATTGGGTAAATTGGAAGTGGGTGGAATCACACAGACCATAACAAAAACCGACTTTCTGCCACAGATTGCATATTTTCAAAAGTAGAATAACTACATTGACTTTCATAGAAATAAGTATGTTTCCTAAATATCTGCAAACATATTATTGCATTTTAATGCTTTAGTAAGGTCATAAAATTACATACTGCACCTTTAACACACTAGGCAATAGATAAAAATATGCATATGTAAATGGTTATGAGGTTGTTATTTGACTGATTTGACTGGCTGTCATTTTGAACAAATAGTGTGAATTGTCAGGCTGTAAATCTGATTTTTTTTTTTCTTTTTTCAAACTAGAGGTGTGTCATCTATACCCCTCTTAATGCACGCTCAGAACACAGGAAACTGTCTGCTCTAAGTGTGTGGTCTGAGCTACTGTGTTTTTCACAGACTTCCTTCATAAAGACATACAGTAGCTCTGTTTTACTTTGATAACTATGATTGGATGTAGATAAGAGAGGAGACAAACTTTGGTGTCGAATACGATTTCGGTTTTGTGTAATGCTTCCACTACGTCATGCAACCACACATCCACAAAGATATTGTCTCTGAGAACTGCTGGGAGTTGTGAATGTTTTAATTTGCATTCACTTATTTTCCAGTGCAATGAAAGCATGCCACCTCCACATGCTGACACTCTACTTTGCAGCTGAGAACATGAAAGACATGAACAAGTGAGTGTGAAAAGACACAAAAAGAATTTCTTGTGTTTGTAATGTGGTCAGAGATAAAGTGCTTGCTGATCTACATTTATGAAAAAAAAACTACCTTTTTTAGTCATGTAGCACTTACTCATACATGTGAAGCGTGTGGGTCTGGTATTTGGCCCAACGTGACATGTTTGCATTGCAGTGTGGCAGGCTGCTTTGACACCTCACTGTGACCAAAGCTGTCTGCAGCACACCACGCAATTGAGCATGTTTGATGAAAACTGGGTTTTGCAGACATCCAGTACTAAAAATAGTTAGTACTAGTTAGTAATAGGAGTTTGGACTTTCGCTGGTAGAATGTGTCCAAAACGTCTGTGCTCTATTGAAGGTATTTTATATTTTATTTAATAGAGCAGTTCACAAAAAATAAAAATATACATTTTAATATATTTTTATTCACCAGATATAACCAAGAACTGCTAAATAGATGCCAACTGAATAACATTTTAAGTTGAATTTCTTATTATAATGTGTAAATAAGTGTAAACAAGTCTGAATACAGTACATTATCTAATCTCAGGAACAGTTCAATTGTAAATTAGCCTCAAAAATGTGTATATAAAATGTAACCAAGTTGTCTGTGGTGTGAGCGAGCTACTCATTTATAGTGAATGGCTTGAATTTCAGTTGGACTCTTCCTAGCAAAGCTGTTGTATGGCTTCAGAATACCTGAGTTTACCACATAATTTGTATGGACTAGTTTCTACAACACTATAATGGTGCTTGACAGATGTGTTTACTACTTTTTAAATGTTTTTGCATGGGAAAAGAGCAGCCTGAGACTCTTCAAAATATCTCCTTTTTTGTTCCATGGAACAACACAAGTGTGAGTAAAAGATGAAAAGATGACATTTCTTTTTTTGTAAACCATTCCTGTAAAGGTTTATTGAAACATACTGAAATAAACCTGTGAGTGGAAAAAAACATTGAGAGAAAGCTGTGGGTGTGCTGCTATTGACATACACACATGATGATCCATTACAATTATTCCACAGATCTGATGAGGTTAGATTTACCGTAATTAATGTTCTTTTTAATCTAGATGGCTGGCTAAACTTACCCAGGCTTCAAATGAACCTGCGCCCACAGACTCAACCGATGGAGGTAAAGATTCACACCACACATGCATACAGAAACCCGGTTAATACAGAGTGTCTATTTCAGTCCACATCACGTCTCATCAAAGCCAAACCTGACACTTTAATAGCTGCATTAATCTGGTATTGAGACTGTGATTGTGTGACTATAGAGTGCTACAGTGAGGAGAGTGACGATGAGGATGAAGCAGACACCGCTGAGATGTGTGCAGAGGTCATGGATCAGCTGACCCCCGGCTCTCTGCATGTGAGTAACCGACATGCTCATTTAAACAGACCCATAACCATAAGTTAAGTCAGCATTTAACTCTTCTATTCATTGTGGTTTATATGTGCTATTAATGGGTCACACAGTGGTTTGAAAAAAAAAAATACATTGGCCAGATATATGTCTTTATTTGATTCGTGTTTTTTGGAAAGAAATTAATACTTTTATTTAGCAAAGATACATTAAATTGATCCAAAATTACAGTAGATCTCCATTTTTTAAATAAATGTTAATTACTATCCATCAAAGAATCTTGAAAAAAAAAAGATCATAGTTTCCACAAAAATATTAAGTAGAACAAATGCTTTCAACAGAAATGTTTCTTGAGCAGCAAATCATATAGAATGTTTTCTGAAGGATCATGTGACACTGAAGCCTGGAGTAATGATGCTGAAAATGTCCGATTTAGCAGGAATAAATATATTTAAATATATTATATAATAGTTAGTGCTGTCAAACGATTAATCGCATCCAAAATAAATGTTTTTGTTTACATAATATATGTGTGTATACTGTGTATATTTATTATGTATATATAAACACAAACACATGCATGAATATATTTAAGAAAAATTGTATGTTTATATATTAAATATTTTTATATATAATATAAAATATAAGAATATAAATATATAAATGTAATTAATACACGAGTTTCATGAATTACTGAAATAAATGAACTTTTCCACGACATTCTAATTTATTGAAATGCACCTGTACATGTAAATATTTTCAAAATATATACTGTATGTGTGTGTATTTATATACACATAATAAATATACACAGCACACATAAAAGTATTATGCAAACAAATCCTTTTATTTTGGATGCGATTATCGCGATTAATCATTTGACAGCACTAATAAAATGGAAATTTTAATGTATATTAAAATGGGATTTTTTAATTTAAATATTTCACAATATTAAATTTTTAGCTGTATTTTTGATCAAATAAATACAGTCTTGGTGAGCATTAGAAATTTCTTTCAAAACATGTTTCTTTCACACAAGTTCCTTTTTAAAAACGGAATTTCTTTGAGATTTTGAAAGATTGATGTTATATTTGTGTGTGGATGTTTCAGGGTTGTCTCCCGCGTCCCCGCACCTCTTCCTCTCTATGTCAGGACTCGTTCCGCACAGAGACTCAAAGTGCAGACAGTGAGTCGTGGCAGGAGATCAGCTCAGAGGAAGACCCCATCCGGAAAATACAGGAGTTCAAAGGGAATGACTGTGAGTGAGCGCTGGAATTAGATCTTTTAACCTTATGAGAGTGTTGCATGGGAAATGTCTGAAATTAAAAAAAACATGTTAAAGGGATAGTTCACTCAAAATGAAACCTGTCATCAGTTATTCATCCTCATTTCGTTCCAAAGCCATAAGATTTTCATTCATCTTCAAAACACTAATGAAGATATTTTTAATGAAACCTGAGAGATTTCTGTCCCTCCACCCAAAGCTTCAGAATGTTCATGTATAGATGCTGATTCTAAAAATGTTTCCATTGGAAAAGTCATGGAAACTCATTGCTCATAAAGTGTGCTAATCCTATAAATTGGTTCGTAACCAAATACTCTTGTAATATTCTTTCATCAGGCCCCCCGTCTGATGAGATGGAGATGCTGTATCTTCACCTCAAGCAGGTGAGGCTGTCCCCCATAGGAGCCCTGCAGCCAACTACCAAACGTGACTTCAGGTCCTCCTTCATCAGACGCTGCAAAAATGAGAGCATTAATGAGAAACTGCACCTGATTCGAGCTTTAAACAGCACTTTAAAGGTGAGTTTGGCATTGGTGTGGCCATTCAAAGGTTAGAAGTGTCCTGTTTGAGTGTTTGTCCAGAAAGAGTTGATCTAAATAGTAATTAATCTACCGGTGTACCATTTATCTTTATTAAACTAGACTTTATTTCATCATGTTGTGTTGCTTCGTAAGTATATATTCAGGGTTTCTGCAGGTCTTAAACTGTTACGGGGCTGACGAGACGTGAGACATGCGGATCCATTCGCAAAGCTTTATTTTGGAGAAGACAGAGACGTGGTCATAAAGCAGGCAGGGTCAAACAGTGGCCGACAGGTATATGGCGGGCAAGACACAAGAATAGTCCTAGGGCTAGCGTAGGTCAATGAACGGCAGACAGAATCAAAAGAGGGGCAAGACTAAAGGAGAAATCCAGGAAACCAGGCGACAATCAGAAACCGAGGCTAAGGCTAAGGCTAAGGCTAAGGCTAAGGCTAAGGCTAAGGCTAAGGCTAAGGCTAAGGCTAAGGCTAAGGCTAAGGCTAAGGCTAAGGCTAAGGCTAAGGCTAAGGCTAAGGCTAAGGCTAAGGCTAAGGCTAAGGCTAAGGCTAAGGCTAAGGCTAAGGCTAAGGCTAAGGCTAAGGCTAAGGCTAAGGCTAAGGCTAAGGCTAAGGCTAAGGCTAAGGCACAAATGAGGGCTCTGTAGTGTAGCTATCTGGAGATATGCGCTAAACAATACTCGGCAGAGGGAAGGGATCAGAGTGAGTGTTAAATAGTGAGGGAGTGATATGAAACAGCTGGGTGCAATCAGTGTTACCAGCTGTGTGCAATCCGTGCTGAGTGCAATCAGTGCAATGAATGATGGGATATGTAGTCCGGGGTGATGTGCAACAGTGTGTAGTGCGAGAGTCAATGAAATTGGAAAGGGTGACC